TGTTAGGGTTAAGTGTTTAAGGGTTATTATTATGATTAGGGTGTAGGGTTTAATACTATTAGGGGGTAGGATTTTAAGGCCTAGGGTTTAAATTAACATTTTGCATGTCAAACATGCAATGTAAAGAAAACAATGGAGAGTTAATAGTATATACCAAGATTGGAAGTCAAAATATATTATATTTATACGTGTCATTGCATGATATAATATGAGGGTAATAACTATTTAATTAGTTAGTAGTATATACCAAGATTGGAAGTCAAAATATATTGTATTTATACATGTCATTGCATGATATAATATGATTCTCAATAATGACATCATTGTGTGTCAATGTATAATCATATATTAGGGTAATAACTATTTAATTCTATTTATAACAAAAGTATTGAAAAAATTATGGAATATTATTATGATAAAGAAAATTGAGCCTTCTCATTTGAGTCAATGTACGTGTCAATGCATAATCATATACAATTATCATTATTTTTTTATATAAATAAACTAAGAAATATAAAAAAAAAAGCTCAAATGAGACATGATTAGACATTGAAGCCAAAATTAATTTTCATATTGTTTATTCAATTTCTCTATCCTAATATCATAATTAATTGTTTATTTTATAAAAAAACAACTTTATTTCACATATAGATAAAATATTAAAATTAAAGAAAGAAGTAATAAAGAGATAATCAATATTTGAAATACAAGTAAAATTCAAATATTCATATCCAATAATTTAGATTTTGTTTCCATTTATAGTAAAAATATATTTTTGTGTACCATGAAAAAATTAAGAATCTTATTGTAATCATTCATAATTACAATAATATACTTTTTCATTTTCTTTGACCATGGAAACCTCCTTTTTTAGTTTTGACATTTATACGTCATTTATGACATTTGCTTACTTATATACTAATGTTATCTTATGTCTAATCGATTTCTCAACACACTTTCTCGTATTAATGATAATTTTTTTTATCACATTTAAAAAATTTTTTTCATTATACTCTTCCGTGTCGAGGATAAGTGATTCAATATTGATTTGATTAAGAAGGTGAAAATAAGCTTAACTCAATAAATTAGTACGAAATGTTCAAGAAACATGTCAAACTATATAATAAATTTTGTGGCCTAAACTAAATTAGGCTTATTTTAGTCTGACCTATTTAAAGTATGACTTACATAGGTTTAGACTAGATTAAACAATACACTTATAAGCTAGTTCATTTTATGAAATAATAATTATTTTTTAAATAAAAATAAAAGTGATGTTATTTTATTAAAATATACATATGAATTATTAATTAATTTTAAAACAAATTACTTATTCTAAAATTAAATATCATAATAAGTCTTTAATATCAACTTATTTTAAGATTTAATGGTACAAATTAACTACTATTTATCAATAAATTATTAAAAAATGAATGATGACAATAAATATTACTTTTTTTAACTTTTATTTTGATATTAAATAGATTCACTCTCTTATAATTTATATATTAAATAATTATTTTTTTAATAAAAATTAGTTTCATTAATATAACTTAAATTTTAGTTTTTTTAATTTTTAATTTGTATTTAAATATTTTTTAATTGACTATTTTGATATAGACAAATTAATAAATTTTCAAAATTTTTAATTAAGTCAAAATTGGACCACTTTAAAATATAGAATAAGCCAAGTCATTAATTTTTTGTTTACTTTACTCATAGGATTATATTAGATTAAGGTGAACAATCTATTTTGACAACCCAAAATCTCATTAACAAATAATATCCTAATATTACTAGAGTTGTCTCTATTATCATTCTAAAAATTATAAGATATCTAACTTAATTTTATAAAACTAACTCCATAAGATAAAAATCATACTCATCTCTAACATCATAACATACTTTTTAAAAAGAGTATTACAAATTTATCTATTTACTAAAAACTATTTATTTTAAATGTCATTCCTTCATTTAAAAATTTCAAAGAATTTAAGATATAATTAACATAAAAAAATAAAAATTTATTTTCTAATGTAAATTATTATTCTATTTTATTTTAAATAATAAGATGATTTAAAAAATATTTTTTTAATTATTTTTTATATTTTAAAAAATAATTTTATTTATAATTATTTTTTAATGTTATAAATTTTAAATATGACTTAACACTTTTATATATGTATTTTCACTTGTATCTATATAATAAAACTTTTTAATAATAGATATCGATATCTAATAACAAATTTTATTCCTAAATGAGAAGAATGATTTTTTTTTAATTCACAAGTAAAAAATAAATTTAAATAAGATTTAATGAAATAAAATTTAAAAGTATAATTAAATAAATAAAATATTCTCTGAATAATTTTTTACGACAATATTTTTATAAATTTAAATGTGTCCAAAATATATTTTATATAATTGAAATAGTATTATGAAACTGTGTTTATAAGAATATTATGGTTGTTTAAAAAAACTATATTTTATAAATAATTATATTAAAATTAATATATGTTATCATTTAAAAAAAAATTAACGTTATTAAAAAATATATATGAAAGAAAAAACTCTCTTTCCTGGGTGCTTATGTCATAATTTTTTTCTGTTATTTAAATGAGTTGAAAGAGTAAAGCGAAATAAATAATCTAATGGTCATTTTTCAATAAACAAAGTTAATAGAAATATTAGATTATTATCATTTAGGGAAGAAAAATTATCACTGGGACATAATAATTAACATTTTAAATAATAATAGTAATAATGATAATTATTAGTGTATATATATTATTATAAATAATTTTAATTTTTACTTTATTTTTATTATTTTTTATTCAGTAATTTTGATTTTATTTTTAATAAATAATATTTTTATAAACATTAATATAAATATGTAAAATTTCTAATAATTTTATATGTTAAAATATTATATTAAATTAATATTTAATTATAATAATAAATTATTCTGATGAATATAATCATAAAATATATAAATATTTGTAAAAAAAATCATTAAAAGATAATTTATAAAAATATAATATGAATTATATAAAATAATATGATATAAAGATTCCGTGAAATAAAATTGTCAATATTGTCAAGATTATACATGTAACAAAAGGGATAATAGGTTTCTTTTTTTATTTTCAAATTTCATCTTATTAATATTTCTAATATTAATTTTATTTATAGTTTTAAAAATAAATTAATGTAGTTTATTTTATCAATTATATCAAATTATCTATTAGAAAGTTTTTTATTATATTAACGTAGTCATACTTATTATAATTTTGTCGGGGAAATGACATAATAAAAATACGTTATATATATGTTTGCAAATATTATTAAATTAATTTTTTTTAAAATAATTAACTTAAAAAAATAATCAAATTAATATTTAAATAATATAGTAAAATAATATTAAAAATAATAAAATAAAAATTATTTAACCGAATTTTTTTTTATAAAAGTAACCATAAATTAATAATAATAAAAAAGTCATGATCATTCATAAATATTAAAATTCAATCCTTATATGCCACTAGTTTCATGAGTCATAAAACAATTAACAATTGCTTAGTTGCTTGATACAAAGTATTAACATACAACACTCCATTTTTAAATGGCAGAAGAAAATATTAAGAAAAAAATATCTTTTCAATTGTTATATTTCACGATTACTGGGTTGGTCTGGGACAATACAACGCTGTGATGCAATGGCTGGCGACGATGATGGGATTGTCGATGTTGAGCACAGGTTCTAATTTGCGATTGGCAACCCTAGTAGAAAAGGGTTATCTTCTTTAGTTTATTAAACTACCATTATAAACCCGACCCGGAAGCCCAACTTCCCCCTTGGGTGGTTACTCGGTTAGGTGTCCCATACTCGCGGGATCTTGAGTTTGCGAGCGTTCTCTCGATTCTGGCAACATTGACTGGAAAGTTAACTCTTTATTCTCCCATTCCTCACCCCCTTCACTCTTCTACAGCCTGAAACGGTAAATATTTCAGCTTCTGTTGTTCGGTTTTCGATAATTGTTGCAGTTTATTTTGGATTATGCAATTGCTGTTCGGGATTGTGTTTCTTATTGGGGATTCTTGTTCTGTTGTTTAGGATTTTGTTTCTTTTGTGTATGTGTGTGTTTACATTATTCTTATTTTCCATAATTTTGTGTTTGAGCAGACGCCATTGAAGGAGTGGTGGCTAACGGAAGGACCTGAATCTCATCAACCACCTCCTACAACGTTTTTTTTCTCTTGTAACTACTGAAACCCCTATATCATTTTACCTGATCAATTGCCGTTGGGTCTCATTTTCCTCTAGCCCTAATCTTTTTTGGACTTTTTACCCAGATATCGGTTGGATAATTTGATTTTCAACCGTGTTTAATTTGTTTAGTCTAAACTTTAGTTCTTCCTTCTGCTCACAATGTACTTCTTTTATGTGAATTATGATATTACCTCATCACAGCTGTACTGAAAGTGTTTTTCCTGAGTTGGATTGATTTATTTTTACTCAGTCATATATGCACGCATATCTGGTGGTTTACTTTATTTATGGCTCTACGTACTTCTAGTAGAGAAAAATAAGAAAAATAATATATATATATATATATATATATATATATATATATATATATATTTTATTAACTAAAATTAACTTGTGCACAAGTTAAAAATAAAAAGTTGAGAGAAGTTATATGAGAGAGTTCCTACAAAATGATTTGTGTATTAACTTATTTTAACTTGTAGAGAAGTTAATTCCAATTTTTATTCTTATTTTTAACTCCTATTGGTGCTTATGGAGTTGCTCTTCTAAACAGGCATATTTATTACATGAACAAGGAATTAATTGTTTGTGGGTTAAAGTCTCTTATGTATCACAGAAGAGAAAATTGTAATTCATGTCGAGTTGTCCTTAAGTAATTTTTGACTCTTGAGCCCACACTTTCATGCTACAGCACACACGGTGATAGGATTTTGTGGAGTTTTCCGAGAAAATGGTTGACAACATGGACTTGCAGATCTCCCTGGATAAGTTACCAATCAAGCGTTTGGATTCCATTGAAGAAAATGGAATGGAGCGATTCCCACCGTATGGTTTCCTATTGTTTCTCACCTATTTTGAAAAGAAATATTAATTGCTAATGACGATGACCTTTCAAAAGTATTCATAAGAACATGAATATTGAGCCCCAATTTTTGTCTGCACTTCTTCTGTGTAACATCTCTCTTAATATGTGGATGTGTATTTGTGTTATTGTAGAGATGTGGATTATGATGAGAAGCGGCTCTCCCTAATCAGGCGAATTGACTTTGCTTGGGCCATTGAGAAGGATGAGGAGAAGAAAAAGCAGAAGAAGAGCTCCAAGGAGTCCTCAACACCATGGCAATGGCAGAGCATGGTAGAGAATTTGCAATTGGCACATCAAGAGCTCTCTGTCATCATAGATCTCATCAACACTGTGAGTTGTGCATGTTACCTTTTTGCATTGAATAACATATTTATGATTTTGTCTGTTTTTTGTTTTTTCAGAAACCCTTATGACAAGTTTACTTTTCTCCATGGGTATCTTTTTGAAACAATGAAATATTATTGCTTAAGGGTATTTGGTTCTTGACCCTGGAGAAAGATTGCTTCCATTGGAACATTCTTTAGAAGAAAATGTTTTTCTGTGGCTAATAGGAAAGTGTTAGTTTCATTTTTCAAGGAATGGAATTAAGTGTTGAGAGGACTTTTATAATGTCAACTGGCAATGCCACTGGAACTAACAATCATTGCTTCATCTTTAGGTATCATCCTTATTTGGTCATAATGGAATCTCTCCTTCGTAACCAAGTTTTGCGCATTTTGGGTGGCAACTTTGTTTGGAATATTAATTAAAATTATATTTTGGGTTTTTTTGGCACAGTTGTTTTTAGTGTGACTGTATAAGTTATGCAGAGGCTGATAATACCTTTTGTTCAAATTTTTGTGCTTAGGTGGAAGCAAATGATGCAGTAACAGTGGCGAGCATGACAAGACCAAAACTATTACCAAATGAAGCTTTGTCTGACCTAGCTGTATCTGCAGCCACCAAGCTGCAATGTTACCGTGTAAATATTATTCTATCCTCTTTTTCTTGAAAGAAAAATTGTAATTTTTTTTTTCATAATAGTAAGTCAAGATCAGTTCTCTTTTTCAGTGTAGCATGTTTATTTTACATAATACAACTCAACATGCGGCAAGTTTTGGGTCTCTTGCAACTTGTCTATGTCGTGTAGTATGTAATATTTGAATAAGCTTTCTATCATGTGCAGCAAGTTGGAAAATACTTCAAGCAATCTGCCAAGGCTTTTGAACAACAGGTTGCTCGGGAAGCCAGGTTTTATGGTGCCCTTATCAGGTGAATTTCAATTCTGAACCTTTTACTTTAATATTCACTTATTTGGGTCTATGCTTGCAAGTATTTGAGAACATGTTCAGATAACAAATAACCACGTTCTTTTTCCTTCAAAAGCTGGCTCTTAAGTAACTCTACACTTTGCCTGTATTCATTTCATCATTGAATTAAAGAAACTCACTTTACGAGAATTCTTGATGTTTAGCTTATGTTATATCTATCGCATGTCCTAACAAATGGACAGATTGCAGCAAAATTGGAAGGTTAAACGGCAACGTCAGGCAGCTATTGTTCCAGGGAATGAAGGCTTCACCTTTGATCTCTTTGATAATTCATATGATCAAGCATCTATTATTCGGTCTTTGTCTATGTCCACTGTTCGAGTCAATCATGATGCCGCTGGCATGCTGGCAATAAATGTGTCTCCTGATTTATGCCATTCTCTCCAATTTGGTTTTGTTGGTGCACAATCAGATGATACTCAGAGGAAATCCAAAGAAAACTTCTCAGGTGAGCATGGTTTGGGAGAAACTGGCAAAGAGTCCTTAAGTGATGAAGAGTGTGTTAAGAAAACACATTCACTCCTTCGCGAAGTACATGAAGCAATTTTCAATGAGCAGGTAAATAGTTCTTTCGTTATTGTTGTTGTTGGTTTGCTGTGTCTAGTTTATCCAATCTCTTACTTTGAACATTTCCTGTTGGTGGTTTGTTGCTTTGGACTCTTATGCTTCTAGGTGTTTGATTTGGTGAATCGAGAAGCATTTACCACAGTTACAAATGTTAGTGTGACTGGAATACGGGAAAACTATTTACAATTAAGCTTAGATCAAGGAACCTCTGTATACTTATCACTCGTGTCCAATGTTCAAGATCATTCTACAGTTGAAGATGAACTCAACAATAATGTTGAAAATGCAATGTTACCTCTAGAGTCGTCTGATGGAATGAAGCGTGAAGCCAAACAGAACACCCCCAAGAAAGGGCAGTTTTCTAATTCTATCTGTTATGAGATTTACATTCAGCAGATTTTTCATGAGCATATATTTGGAAAAGGTGGCGAAAAACCAATTTCCTCTGGAAACCGTTCGTCTGGCGTACAGGCTAAGGAGGCCAAAGATGGATCCAATCTTCTTGGTCATTTTTTCATGTCCTTGTCTCACAGGATTTTTTCAACTAAAGTTCTTGCGGAGCTGGAAAACGTGGTATTACTCTTTTCAAAATTAACTTCAGCTGGTTGAAAAATAGACATTTTTGTTAAGTCTTCGATACCTGCAGGTATACAAGGTCCCATATCTACAGCTAATTTCTAATCCCACGCGGCATTCTCGGGCTTCGTCATGGACTCTGTACGTGGTGGTTCCTCAGTCTATCCTTCGTGGTAGCCAAACTAAAACATCAGATTATTTTGAGAAAAATGCTGTGAAGCGTCAATTTTGGATTAAGGTGATGGTAAATGACAATTGCATCAATGTTAAAGCGGAAGGTTCTCCAAATGTCGCAGGCTTGTTCAAGGGAAAAATTGAGGAAACCCACTCAATAAACAAATATAACTGCAACTTAGCTGATCTTCCTGTGATTATTCTGCAGCAGGTAAATTGATCCATTGCAATGGCTTTTATGTTCGTAGGTGGAGAATTGCGTATATGTAGCTGACTCACAAGTGAATCATGCGTGTAACAATTAAAGTTTCTTATTTCTGGAACTGAGATCATGCAGGTTGCGAGCCAAATTATTAACTGGCTATATCAGGAAGCTTTGATGGTTGGGATAAAAGCAAATCGGGACTTCTTATGCTTATCATTTGAGCTGGAGCAGGGTGAAACACTTGGCCTGGTTGCAAGTGTTGATCCAGAAGATAGTGAAGGGTGTATATCTTGGTGGTTGGTCATGGAGGACAGTTTTGCAGAGGAGCAAAAGCTTCATATGAACATCAGTGATGGTGCATCTGAATATAGGAAATTTCTCGGTCACTTGTCACTTGATTTGTTATACGCAACACTCATCGACTTGGTAGGCTTGTGTAGTGGTGGCGGTTTTCAATGACGTTGTATCAACTGCTTTTCTTGCACTTGTCAAGTCGAAGATCTAGGAGAGTTCACATGCGTAACCATTGTATTCTCTATCTTTACATTTTAATATGAAGTTCAGTGTTTCTTCTCGATGATTTTTCTACCTTCACAATTGGAGCGTCTGTGAAACGTTGACATCCAATCATCTGTGATTATTGGTGTCATGTTTTTCTCATTATATAAAAATATTTTTTTTTATTTTTCCATAAAATTTATAATTTCAATTTTTTTTATTTGTTGACATAATAATTTAATAATAGAGGGAAATAAGATAGAAAAATCCACTTATTTTTATATATCTTTATTTGGCAACAACTTTTTAGAAATCCGAAAACATTAAAACTCAAAAAGGAAAAATAGTATTAGTTTTTAAAATTTTCGTAAGTGAAAACAAAAATCAATCCCCGACAAGTATTATAATTTTGTATGAATTAAAAGTAAAATAAATCTTTGATCAATTTTAAGGAAAAAAAGAAATATATTGATATACTGTAACATCTTTTCATATGGCAATTTCTTTTATAATATTCAACATAAAAGTTTTTTCTATTTAAAATACATATTATAGATATATCATTATTTAAGTTTTATAATTTAATTATTTAATCATGTATAATCTTAATAGAATATAATATATCATAATTTGAGTTGACTTGATATTCTTTTATATATAATTATTGTGCGATATTAATTAGTTTAATTCTGTTATTACATTCTCCAAACAATTCTCTTACTTTCTTTTTGTATTTGAAAATATCAAGTGCATTTACTCTTTTCATTTAATATTTACCTTCCAACACAGCAGTTAGAAAAATATAACATTATTCTTTAAATAATTTTTAAAGAATGAAATTCAATAAATGTATATAGAGTAAGGGTGAATTAGTGGTTGAAGTTCTATTAATTTAGTACATGAAAGAAAATAAAACTTGTTGAGTTTTTAAATATATAAAATATATAACCTAGTTCCTGTATGTCTTGTAGTTTAATAACAAAATAATCCTTAAATTAATATCAAATTATTTTTAGTAATAAAACAATTCTACAAACCCCAAACGTAATTGAGAAACGTTTTATAGAATGAAGGAGTAAATTAGGTTTTTTTATATTTTGAAAAGTAAATGAATATCTTACATTGTTCATTTACCCGTAAAGTAAACTAAAATTCAGCCCAACAACTTGTCGTGTGAATAGCAACGAAGTAGGGAATAAAACTGAGCAAACTCAAGCGGTGGAACCGAATGAAAAAAGCGGTCTGAACTCAACAACAGCAGGGAGAGTCAAATCCGTCTCTTGAATCAAAGTCTAATGTTTTGCTACAATTGGTGACTGTCATGGATCTGTGTTGTGTGATTTCTTCTTCTTGTTCCATGTTCACGGGATGAGTGTTTCCTTTTTGTAAATTACTTTCCTCTTTTGGTAATTTTGTTTTTAAGGTTGCCCAGTTTGTACTCTGTACCTTAATTTATTGATTACTGCGACAATATGGGTGTGGACAAGGCGTCTAACTCCATTTCCACCTCACAATGCGACGACCAACATAGCAACAACAAAATCAACTCACTTGTGCGTTTGAATGTCTACGATCTCACCCCTGTCAATAACTACTTCTACTGGTTTGGATTTGGCATCTTTCATTCTGGCATTGAAGGTCTCTCTCTATCTGTCTCTCTCCTTTTCCTTCCTTCCTTTAACTTTGAACTAGTTTTATGCGTGCGCCAGATCTGACATACATACAGTTTTTTTTTTTAATTTCCATCCATATATTGCTTTGAGAAGAATCCTAATTCACTATTTGACTTATGCTGTAATATTAAATATGTTTTCTTTGAGTGCTTGTATGCAACTTTTCTCTAGGAATGGAGAGTGGAGAAACAGTATAACCTTGAGTTACTGAATAGCTATGTATGATTCCAAACCTTAGTTAGAACTTGCCAAAGAGCACAAACAACACTTACCAGCTCGTGGCTTCTCAGATTTTGAATTGGAGAGCAAACTTCCTCAGGGGGAAACATAAACATGTCAATTCAATTACTATAAACAAAATCCTGAAGGCATTACATGTACCCAAAACCAGTTCACTAAGGGTATGATCATATAAATTTTTTTCATAAATATGAGAAGAAATTAGGAAAAAATGTCTTCCTGTGAGTTAGACTTAGTTAAGAAATAAGTTAAAAATCATCTACGAGAACTCTTTGAGATATCGACAATCTCAGTATCGTGAGGGAAACTTGTCTCTAATCTAGTAGGTTGGAAGATATATTTAATAAGACAGAAAACTATTGAGTAGTTTGGAGATGAGAAGGTGATACTGTGATTTATAGTCTGCATATTTTCTCCTAGTGAACTTGTGAATCATTTTCATCTTAATCAGTCAACATTTTTACATGCCAGCTCTCTGAATTAAGATTGTCTGGCTCTCAAGTTAACTCTTATATTCTTATGATTTTAAATATACAAAAAATAAGCTAACTCATTGGGAAACTCTTTTCTAGATAAACTTAGTGGAAACCCGCACAAAGTCCAGGTTCAAGTTAAGTTGAAATCAATTATAATTTTTGTCTCACATTAACTCTATAGTGGCAATGCTTTTCTAAGGGCTGAAATGATTTGAATAGTTTTTGAAATGTTTTTCATTTTACTAACTTTTGTTTTTATAAATTTATATGTGAATAATACATTTATGTAATTTGATCTTACTTAGTACTATTGTATTATCAGACCCTATTATTGTGGTTTGCTAGTTTGCTTTATTATAAAGTTGAAACGCAGAATTATTTTTCACTTTAAATTATTTTTTGTATTAAGTAACCTCTTAGGAATTTGCTAATCTAGTCTATAAAAGCTCTGCAATTATTCATAAACTATAGATTTAACAACCTTGATTACAACAGTGTCCAAGCCCAACATACACTTTTGTTTTTCTACAAGAAACCAAAAGAAGCTCTTACCTTTCGGAGAAACATGGAATCCTAGGTTATAGCTTACCAAGTGTTTCTCACACCGACAGCCACAGTCATAAATAATCCACATTACATGTCTAGAATGAGAAAGACAAATGATGTTATGATGTACAGTAAGGAATTTGAATTCAGAAACACTATCAACAGTATTTACTGCACAATAGCACAAAGGGGGTTCGGCTGGACTAAGGGTAACAGGTTATAAAACAGAAACATCTGTTGAATGCAGATCAATTTCTTTGATCTCATGCTTGTGGTGGCATATTTTGTGTATTCAGAAAGCTTCTAGTTTGTTGAAGCTAATTAATTTAATGATGAGAATCTCATTGACGGCCTTCCAACAGCTCTTTTCATAACTGTCTTGAAACATTTCCCTTAAGTGTCAATCTCCTTACTCTGTTTTAACATTTATATTTGCAATCTTCTTCATGTTTGGCTCTCCCAATTTACGTTATTGTGTCTAAGACTTAAACAAGACTACATGTACTCCAAACTGTCTTATATCATTTACAAGAGGATAAAAAACTGAGTGTGTCTGTCAAGCTACTCTAGTGGCTTATAAGCTAGCTGACCAGCTTATAAGCTGGTTTGTCCAAAACAAGTTTATTTGATACATTAGCTTAATATTTTATATTCTTTACATATTTGTATCGTTAGAAAAATCCCATAAAAAGGGATTCTAGAGTAGAATAGAGAGAGATTGTTTTGCCTAAAATAGAATAGAACTCCTCTTATGTATATATGTTCTATGATTATTCAGTGTTAATGCAGTAAAATCAATTCATTCTTCCCCAATTTTCCAGATATACGACAATGGAATACATAGTAGGCTGTTTACAAGAAATATCTATCTCAATAAAAGCTACAATCTCACTGTCAAGTGTAAGCTAACATGCAGACATCTTCAGTTGCAACACAGAACTAGCTATCATTAAAATCATTATATCATATTTGACTCCTTCGATTATTCAAAAGATTATATCATATTTGACTCCTTAGATTGTTCAAAAGCTGTCTTTTTGGATATGTTCTATGCTGTGTGTACGAGGTTTAATGTATATAAAAATGGTTTTCCAGGTTGATTGAGAATTGGTATGCAATAAAAATAAATAAGAAGAATTTTAGCATATTTGAACTTAAGTAATTTTATCCTTTAAATACATTACTCTTTATTTATATCTTTGGAGTTCTTCTAATAAACATTTCATTTTTGTATGATTGTTTGAAAACAACCGTTATTTTATCAGAATAGTTCTGACAATACTCCAGAAAAAGTCTTTCTTGATTTATCCTGCTGTTGTAACTGGTGTTTTAATTTGTGTTTCTATACTCTAATCTGGTGAAGCTTTTTGTCTTTCTTTGTTTATGTTGTTCTGAAACAGTGCATGGTAAGGAGTATGGATTTGGAGCCCATGATTTCCCAGCTAGTGGAGTTTTTGAAGTGGAGCCAAGGAAGTGCCCTGGATTCATATATAGATGTTCCATCACTTTGGGTCAAACCAATATGAATGCTTCTCAGTTCCGTACATTTATTGAAAGCATGGCTTCCGAGTATCATGGGGATACCTATCACCTTATAACTAAGAACTGCAATCATTTTACAGAGGATCTCTCCAATAGATTGACTGGGAAACAAATCCCAGGTTGGGTGAATCGGCTTGCTAAGCTAGGTAAAACCTTTCCTTTCATATTCGTCTTCTGAATTCTTATTATGAACTAGATGGAGGTTGCTTTATGTTCTGTTTTAATCTCTCTAGTGAGACACTTGTAACATCAAGCTTCTATCTACCCAACGTAACAAAGGTCAGGGTCATTATAGGACTTACTCATTTCTGAAAACATACTTGAAATAGATAAGGAGAGAAAATACCGGCTTGAAATATTAAGTTATAAACTTTATTTTATATCACAAAATAGAACTTTTATAGTGTAATTAAATTACATATGAATCGAGTTCAAGTCAGTTGTCTAAAATAAAATCTGACAACGATGGCATGTTTTGCCAATGTTTAAATTTTAAACTTCAATCCATCAGCTTTCTTTAAGTTATACTTGGCAAAGAAAATTATATTGAAAAATAAAAAGTCAGTTGCTTTTGGGTGGATAACACCATTTTTAATATTATCAGTAGAGACTGACATTATTTTCTGTGACGAGTCTAATCCAATGCATTGATTTTCTCTTCTAGTTCTGTTCTATACATTTTATGTCATTTTCCTCCTAAAATACAATGAGCATAGTTCTAAGTCCAGCCTTGTGGTAAAAATTGCAGGTGCTTTGTGCAGTTGTCTACTTCCTGAAAGTCTTCAAGTAACAAGTGTTAAACAGCTACCTGAATACCATGAATGTTCGGGTGTGAATATCTCTTGTTCTTTGATCCTTCCTAATCAACATATATTATTGATGATGAATATTAGTTATCCATCTTACTAATATCTGCAACTCTTTTTGCTGTCTTTCTTTGTGACGGCTTTGCAGAAGATGAATTTGTTGAATCTATTTCACCTGCCACACCCCGCGAGTCAACAGAAATAGATGACGAGCAAGAAAAACCCCTTCTTTCATCATCAACTGCAACTGAGGATGTTACTTTCGTTAGAGAAAGCCAAGCAAAATAAGTGGTGTCTTTGACGGGAGAAATTACACAGGCTGTCTTCGCTTTGAATATTTATCCATTTGATTTGCAGTGATTATTTTTTCTCAAAATTTTCTCATTCTTCCATGGCTTTGTGGGTTTAGGTTGATTCATTGAAACTGAAGAGTCCAGTGTTTGTTGTGTACAAAAGGTTTTCAGATGGGGCTCTTATTTGTTTGTGATTTTTTATTTTTTGAGGGGTGGAAATTGGGGCGAAGTTGGGCCTTACAAGTGTTGGTCGTGTAAAATAGCAAGTGACATCTGACAGCCACCTTTGTAAACGATCTTACGAAATATTAGCCCGTTTGTTTGACGACATAGTGTTTAATGATGTTTTGATCAGGTTGATTTCCTGCACAACTGTAAGCATGATTAGATTAAAAAAGGTGACATTATCACACATAATATATTGTGTTAGAAATACGATTGTGATTTGAGTGTGCACAATATTTCCTTCAAATGAGTATAATTTTGTCAGATAGTTAGTGTTAGGATATATTTTGTGTGGTAATTGAGATTTCATATATACTAAACTTATAATATATGATGGAGATATAAATTTTATTTTATAAATTAGTTTTTTAGGACTGAGTGAGACATTTCTTTATTTTTAATATAATATTATAATGAGAGCATATTAATATTTAAATTAGATGATTAAATAGTTGTATTATCATGAAAATATATTAATATTAAAGTAACAGATAATTATTTACCTCTAGAAAATAATTAAGAAAAATAGGTAGATATGTTTTGCATTACAGGGGAGATAAAATTACATATTACTACAATATTGATATTTTAAGTCAGTAATTTTCGTAAAAAAAACAAAAAAGTCACATGTGGTAATAAATACTTCCATAACTGATAAGTAGAAATTTATATAAGATAATAGTCTATAACATTATACTTGAATTATATATGTAAATATTCTGGATTATTTTGAAATTATTTCTTAATTACATATTGCTATGAATTTGAGTTTTTATTATTATAATGATTTGATTTATAATTTTATTGTATTTTTAATATTTCAAAATTTCTATTTAGTTGAATCATTATTATAAACCTACAGTAGATGGTGAAAATTTATATAATGTGATTTGATGCTCCATTGACTACACTAGATGGTGAACTTACACAAAATATTATTTGATGCTTTTGCGTTAGACTGTAGCGTCAGTTCTTAAAATATGTATATCTTCACGTTAAGTCATTGTGTATGATTTAAAATTATAAACATAATGAATAACTTTTTATTTAAAAATATTTCATATTTCCATAACTTAAGTTCATCGGGAAACTATCTTGTATACGTTCCCGTAATTAATATATTCATGCAGCTATAAATAAGAGTGTTATATCTAATAGCAATATTATCCTTTGTAACTTTCTAAGTTATTATTTAATTGAAAAAATAGATTCAATATGAATATACAAACATTGTGATTGGGAAAATTTTAAAAATGACAAAAAAAATGAAAATTATATCTTTTTGGAAAATAATATTTATATTAAAATGGAAATTAAAATTGATTATATATATCCATGCCCATTTCCATTTTTTGTATATCTAGATCACGGTTTCATAGATTATAAATGATAATTTCTTCTATCATACTCCAATTATATGAATATTTTATGCGTTGAATTACTTTTTAATTTATATTTTAACATGAGTAATATTAATATTCAAAACTGGAGCAAATGAAATCGTGGAAGTTTCTATTTCTTTTAATATTTGTAATGGAGATTATTCAATAATTTCACGTTTAAATTGCATGCAATTTGATACATTATCCCTCCAACCTGATTTTTTTTCCTTTTTGTGACAAAGTAATCAACCTTCGAAAGAAATTTGACAGCATAGTTAGTGGCGTAAAATGCTCTTATTTGTTCTCTTTTGGAAATAGTTGACTTCGCTGAATAATCTTTGCCAAGCTTTTAAGGTCAATGACTCAGTACACTGCTTGAAAATTCAGACTTTCATTAATAATAGTTCGGTATATCTTGGAATTGGGAGGAAAATTTATGAATTGGTTTTTCCTTTTTATGTGGAAATTACCCTGAAATTATTTACCATTGTTTTGAAACGATGCCTTCTATTAATGAAGTCAACATGAGACTTGTCTTAATAAAAGAATTGTTAAATCAAAGTATGAAAGAATATTAACATTTCATTATCCTGAACAAGTCAGATGTTGGGGGATTTATCTGTACTATTAATGTAGAATATTTTCACTGTATTATCCCTTCGTGTCATCAACTATCAAATAGGTATGACCAGTTAAAAATCTAGACATTTAGCAATACCAATATCTTGACTAAAAAAATGATGGTAAACGCTGTACCTACAGAATTAAAACAAGAATGACAGTGAAATGATATGCAAATTCCATATATAATTACAACTCTTCAAATGTAACATGTAAGTTGATTTGGCAGGGAATTACCCATTTTGGTTAAAAAATACAAACATCCTGAACAAATAATAGGACTAGGTTTGTCTGCCAGAAATGTTTTCATACACATAATTTGAACCAAATACTCCCCCTACCACTCTTTCTTTATTCTACTCGTAAGCAAGAAAAGAGTGATTAGAACGTAAAAAGTTTAAGACCAAGTCAGAAAACATTGTCAAAGGAACCTCCAAATCATTTACAGAATAACAATGTCGGGACTGACTTACGAACATGGCATTTCACATGGCAGGGAATGTTTGCAAAAGAACCCAGAAAACAGGAAACAGTGAAAGAAAAAAGAGGATAAACAGTATCTATAATTTCCTGGCTGAAAATCTTTGAACTGTGTCCCAATTAATACAATTGAAGTAACCAGAAGCAAGTGAATAATACCCTGAAGCAGATAGATTCAACTGCATTAGGACCTATAATCCCCAAAGAGAAGTTACTACTGAGAGCTAGCTATCTGCCAGATAAAATAGTGGTTCCCAAGGAGTAAGTAGATGTACAATCCAAATTGCTGGGCACAGAGGTCAACAACCTTGCAAGATTTCGATGATCTACAGGGTCTTCATCAACAGCTAGTAAATCAACAAGAATCAACCTGGAACCAGGGGGTTCATCCACCCTCACACGACTCTCAAGCATATCAACTACTTGTGCCATGCTAGGTCTCAACCTTGGCTTCTCTTGTATACACCACAATGCAATATACACCAATCTGATCACCTCACTGTCCTCAACACCCCCAATTTCAATCAACCTATGATCCACAATTTCCATGAACTTCCCCTCCCTCACTTTTTCATTCACAATCTTGGGAAAAAATTCCCACTTTTTCTTAGTCCTGTCCCTAGGATCCTCCACCCTTAAAACATTCCTTCTCCCTCCAATTATCTCCAACAAAACCATCCCATAACTGTAAATATCAGTTTTCTCCGACACCCCTCTTTCCAAAAGCCACTCAGGAGCCAAGTACCCTCTTGTCCCCCTCATTGTTGTCATAACCTGACTCACATCATAGCTAACAAGAGTTGAGAGACCAAAATCAGAAACTAGAGCCTTATAATTCTCATCCAAGAGTATATTCTCGGGCTTCACATCAAGGTGCAAAACCCTCTTCCTACAATCATGGTGAAGATAAGACAACCCTTTGGCAACATCAATGGCAACCTTATACCTCAAGTTCCATGGCAAACACCCACCTCTACGTGAACTGCTTTCCCTTGAGGGAAAGATCCAACAATCCAAAGACCCGTTTGGGATGTACTCATAAACAAGGTACCTAGGCGCTGTGGGGGCGTTACAGTAACCAAACATGCGCACGAGGTTGACATGGTGCACGCTAGCAATGGCTGCAACTTCTGATCTGAACTCCTTCTCCCCACGCTCCTCTCCATCGATCCGTTTCACTGCAACCGAAGTTCCATCGCTGAGAATGCCTTTGAAGACCGAAGCTGAGGACCCTCTTCCCAACAGTGCTTGAAACCCATCCGTTGCTTCCTCAAGCTCCTTGTAACGAAACTTCGTCGGAACCCCAGCAACTTTTCTTAAGAAACTATACTCTATTCGAAGCTCTCGCCCTTCCGTCTTCAACTGTAACTCCAGCAACCTCCTCCTTCGGTTGTAACGGTGCCTTATAAGGGTACATGAAAAGACAGCGATGATCACAGCAATAGAAGCGCCACATATGAGGAAGAAGGCACGTGAAAGCTTCAAGGAGACACGTGCAACGATGATGAATATGATCAGCGCAACCACTGATATCACAGAGATTGTGTTGGCTTTTCTGTCCTCCATTAGAACTTCATTGCTTTTTTTGTGAAGGAGTAAGCGAACGGCAAAAGGGTCTCTTTATGGTTCCAGCGTCTTATTCTGACAAGACTAATTAAGGAGGTTGTGGGCTAGAAAAAAAAAAGTGTAACCATTCAACTATTTGATTAGTTTTAGCGAGGGGGACCATTTTTAACGTTGAAAACAGCTAAAACACTGAGATTTTGGGTGGTTTTAAAATTTATTCATGTATGGTGGAAGTAGCCAAGAAATTTAATTAACACCAACATAAGTCTCAGAGGGCAAAGACCGTAGAAGAGTGTCTAGTATTTTTCAGAATTCTTCTGTCAAACGCGGGCTTTGATTTGGTCAATATTTGAGTTCTCCAAACCAAAATCCAACATATGTAATGACAAGGGGGAATCAAGTTTTGGTTTAATTTGGTCAACAATTAGGTTCCCCTCATAATACTCGAACCTTGAGGTCACTTGAGGCGTGTGGGAAATAAATGACGAAGCTTTTTGTCCTGGTGTTTTTTTCTCTTCCACATGTTTAGCACAATGCTCCAACTGTTTTAGGGCTCAGAGTACACTTCATCGCTGGAGGAGAGAGATGAATTTCTCTCTTCATGACATGGCCTTTGAAGCATGTGGGAATTGAATGACTAAGCTCACTTCTTCTCGTTCACCATTTATGAGATCTTACATGTTCACCATTTAGCATCTACACATGTGCACAATTTTGAGAATATTGAAAAATTACAATTAAAAGTCTAATTGATTAATATATATATATATATATTAATTAATCAATTATTTTCTTTTTATCAATATTTTATTGTTGACAAATATGAATTCGATAATGAATGTAAATAATGGACAGAACAAAGGGAAAAATAGAATAAAAAAAACGTCAATTTCAAGCCCAAGCCCAAGCCCAAAAAGAACAACAAGAAGTCCAAAAGGTCTAAAAGAGAGACTAATCAAAACAAAATTTTAACTGGGCTGGGCTAGTTTTTTTTTTTAATAGTCTTTTTACTAACTCAATCCAAAAAAAAAAATGAAAAAGATATTTGTAAAGAAATTTATTTAAATATATGGAGAACAAAATTTACCATTAATTAAGAGAGTGGGTGAAGATTTAGAGAGTTGATGTTTATTTTTAATTTCTTCTGTTTTTTTATCTGTTGTTTTAGTTTTATCAAAATGAGCTGGCCTAGCTTGAAAGAATGATGTTAACAATATTAAAATCAATAAACCTTATTTTCATTTCAAATACATCTCAAGAAAAAATGAATAATTATCTATTTTATTAATTAAAAATATTTAATTTTAATTAAAAATCTACGTCATCAAATAAAGCCTTACTACTTTTTACAAGTAACTAAAAAATAAGTTAGCATTGCAGTGCTAAATTTAAATTTAGTATGATAAATTTGTTGATTTTGATGACAATTATTTTAAAAAACTCACCAAGGATGATTTTTTATTGTTTAACAATATAAAAAAAATAATATACCATGTTTTATAAATTATCTAAAATAAAAATAATTAAGATTGAACAACGTCATTATAAATAATTAAGGGAATTCTCTTTCGCACAACTAAAATGTTGGTTGGAGGTATTAATTTATTATTCATCTATGATGAAGTTGTTTAACTCCAACTTTTTATTGGAGTAAGTTACACAACACCTTATTTATTCCAATGCATCATCCTATACCCAGATGACACTCCAATGTTGGCATATTTTGGAACTTCCAAGTTCCAACCAATTGCATGCACATGCCATGCCTTAAATTACTCTACAAGCTTATTTTTAGGCCAAGCTTTCAACCCTTATATTGTTCGTATAAAATCAACCTCCTAGGTTTGACTTTATTTTGATTCCATTTTTTTGTTATTTGTAACCACAACTCAGCAGCGTGTAAATGGCAACCTCGATTCAAACAAAACCTTTTCAGCTCTGAAAGCAACTTGGGTGGGTGGGTTGGTACTCAAACGTCTTGATCTTGGAGTAAGAGGCATACTTAACATAGTATATAGTATGCATATATAAAAAACAAAAGCTGAATTCGGTTTATATATAATTATTTGCTATGAAAATGCATAGATCTTCTAGCATCTCAAGAGCGTCTGGTGAGTTCTTGGTTGGCATTTCAACCACTGCTTTAGCTTTTCCATCTCCTGAAATGGCAGATTCACAGGGTTTGCCAATTCATCATTCTGTCTCCGATGTTGTTACCAAGAAGGAAATGGCACTCTATGGTAAGCCACCTGCACAGAAAGCTGTTCATCTCATACCTCTTGTGCTTATCTTTTGTGGTTTTGTTCTTTGGATTTTCTCTCACCAGTGACGTGCTGAAAGAGAAAATAAGAGAGAATGATGAACACTGTTGACATGTATGCGGTGTATGTTAATTATATAATCAAGGATATGTGATTTATATGTATCATTGTCTTATATTTAACCAAAGTGTGCCATAATGGATCGATAACTAGAATTTTTACGTCTGTGATTTGGAGTTCAATTTCCCTATTTATGGAAGAACATGGTTTAAGGTATCTCTATTCAACAAAACCCATCCGAAAAAGGGGATGATAAGATGTAACAAGACGCAAAAAGCTTTTAAGAAGCAGCAACGTCCTTCAATTCTTGAGAGAAAAATCACTTGTTTATTTATGGTTGTGTCTCAATATATGTTGTCTTGCATTCAGTTTTAGCACTAAAATCATTTTATATGCATGATTATAGCAAATGTCCCTGTTTATCAATCCAACCTAGTTATAGTTCCATAGATATTAGAATTCTCATAATAGTTGTTCACCCTTTTTTCCTTTTTCCATGATCACTCTAAAACTTACTATGGAGTTTTGGATAAAATGCTAAATGACAAGCTAGCCTTGTCTTATACATATTTATTTATCAATATTGAGTAGTCAAATTTATTCCAAAGACGTCACAGTTCTAGCTGATAAAAGAAATCTGATTCTATTAAATCTAACCAAAAATATTTTATATTTCACCCATTCTTAGTTTTTGTTTTATTTTTATAAGATGTAAAAAAGAAATTTTATTAATAATTTACTTTTCATTGAAACTTATGTTTTAATATAAAAAACAAATAATTATCATCGGCAAATTTTAATATAATTTTTAGAATGACACACCGTCTTGAAAGAAGTATTGCAATTTCATAAATACATATATTTATACAAGTATGAATACTTTCTTTTAATGATATATATATATATATATATATATATATATATATATATATAATAAAATTGCAATACAAAGCATGAATATTTTATTATTATCATAAGTAAATAGATAACTAAATTAATACACATTTATATAAATTTATATTGGATTAATTATACTGGCTTAAAATATTGGATGAAAAGTAGACCCAGTCCCAATTAAAAAAAATCTATTTTTTTTTTTGGTTTTTATTATTTACGTTGAATTAAAATAGTTTATGAATGCCCCAAAAAAAAAAGTATTGAAAATTTAAAGATTGGGGAATTTAAAAGACAAAACTATCACTCACAATTAGTTTAGAGAGGAGATAAAAATAAAAAAGCGAAAAAAAAAAACTAGTAATAGACGTTATTAGTAATTTTGTATTAAAAACTTATACATAAAAATTTTAGGTAAAAAAAAATGGAAGTACAATCTTTAGAACAAAACTTAGGTATTTTTTACAGGTGTACTTTGTGTTAATTTGTTTTGTGATAATCTTTTATAAAACATACATTGTATTGTGTTATATGTATAATAGTTGTTGCATGTGCTATAGTTTATCATTAATGAAATATACTTGTTGTATGTTTATTGGCAAATAGAACAAAACATATTTATAAAAACTATAGTTAGTGCGTTGTTCTATCTTCATTAGTGTTCTGTCTGAAACTTGAATGCACCATGTTAGTTCTTGGTCATGTTAATTATATTTAACTCGCAAATGAAGTGACTGATTTTAGATCTAACCTAATCTACAAACTTAAACTAATAATTAATGAGTTGAGTCAAATAGAATTGTTCAAGTTGATCAGTGGACCAAAACCTCTATGTAACAACATGCGCGTTTGGTTAAGAGTCCAACGTTCATAATGATTCTATTACTAAAACATCATTTTGGCCCACCACATTCACACTAATTAAGATGAGTTCCCCTAGGAATGTTGTCTAATTCTTATTATCCATTATAATTTAATCATTATTTTTAATAGAGGGTCTCTAATCAAATATGAATATCAGAATTAATTTAAATAACATACAATTGAATGAGATTTGAAATATGGATGAAAATCAAATTCATGATCTTCACCTTGGTATTTCTTGTTCTTGGAAGAAAGGTAAATGTTTGCATAGAAAAAAGAAAGACTATTTAGGTCTCGGAAATTGAATCTGCAGGTGATGAATCTGAGAAGTAGAGTGTGGCTCATTCTCTTTGAAACGGACAAGCCAGAGAACAAACAACTTGTTCCCAACTCCAACCCAATTTGTGACCGTCTCTTTTGTCTGAATAAGGCATCATTGTCTAATTTATATGTTTCTTGTTTTCCCTAATTTACCACACTCCCGAAACAATGTTTCAAATAATCAAAAACACTTTTAATATCAGTTTTACCTCGAATCTATGCTGCAGCCTGTGAGTTATTATATAGGCAAATTTAAGGTGTGTTTCACTTGAATAAATAAACAATTAGGTAAGAATAAAATGAACGAAAACAAGGAAAAAAAACTGACATTTAATGGCTATGTTAAACATTCAATAGAGATTTCAAACAGTCATAAATACATATAATCAACCTTCACTTGTAGGAAATGGAATGTTTGCTGTAAAAATTAATTTCTTAAACTAAACATTTTTTATTTATTTTCATTCATTCTTTTTTTATTAACCCTTATAACTTTTATAAGCACCCATATTTTTATAATATTTTTATTTAAATTTCATATTTTAATAAATTATAAATAATGTAATTATTATACTAAATATTATTTTAATATAATATTTTAACATAAAAATATAAATTAAAAATTCACACATTTATTGTAATATGTATACAAATATTGTTTATTAAAAACAAAGAAGTTATATAATAGATAGAAATAACAAAAATTAGAAACAATAAAATATAAATTATTTATAAAAATAAATATGCACTAATTTCATTATTTTCATATTAAAACGATATTAAATATGTTTTATACCAAGTTAATTTGAGGTTATTGACGTAGTTGTTTGATATGAATATGTACTTTCCTTAGGAAATAGACTTTATTACCACCATAACATAATCAAAATTAATGTTTATGTATGTCTCTCATCTACAACTATCATGCTATGTAACATGATGCATACATACATTATATTTCTTAACGTAGTCAAGGATTAATTTATGTGGGGTAATGGATGGTCACAACCTCCAAAAATACCAACTTTTTCTTTTATATATGATAATTAATTTTAAAGTTAAATAAAAATTAATTTTTAAATATAAATAAAATATTTTTTTATTTTATTCTCTTATATTATTTTTTACCTATATCTTTTTTTTCTTTTCTTTTTATCTTCAGATTTTTATTTCTTCTTTATATTTTTTTCATTTTTCTGACTTTAACTTCTTTTTATATAAGACACTTACTTTTTTTTTATATTTTTACTCTCTTTTTTGTCTTTCTACTTATTCATTTTTCATATTTTCACCTTTATAATTTATAACATAAAAAATTATAATTTTTTTTAGTATTTTTCTCTTCTATTAATGTTGGAAACATTTTTCCAATGAAAAAGGTAATTTAAAAAATATATTATAATAATTAATAGTTTTCTTAAAATAAATAAACAGTAAATAAGTTTGTTTTTCGTTTTTATTTATTATTATAGTACATTAGTATAAAAATATTAAATATTAATATATTTTATTTATTATAAATTATTCAATTATTTTAATATTTTATTATACTATATTTTTTGTTAAAATATAAAAAAATGAATTTTAAAAATATTTAAAATAAAACTAAAGACTATTTTTTTTAAAGAAAAGAAAGAATAAATAATGAAATACATTTTAATTTTTAAAATTTAAATTCAACTAATAATATTGAAAATATTATCTAGTAATTTATAATTAATGAACTTCTTTTAGAATATTTTTTCTAAAATTATGAGAATTGAATATAAAAACTTTAATAATAATTCTAGAAAACATCAATAAATTTGAAATTATTTTATCAATGAAGAACATGAAATCCATATAACATATTGTTTCTGGTGGAATTTCGATCGATTTCGACTCTTAAGATATTTTGACCCTAATCAAAATTCTACCACGTAAGTTCTTTTTGCTTAGGCTAGCAAATTAATTTTCAATCAAAATATGTATGAGGATCGAATTTTACCCGATTTTAAAGATACTATTTTTAGAGTTTTGTATTAAGAATACTCGAAGTAAAGAAAGCAGAAAATATATGGAATCGAAAATCAGTGCTGAAACTTAGATTGCAAAGAAATGTAAACTACGAGAATCTTAAATTTGCTTTAAGTGTAAAAGACAGGGAATCGAAACACAAACGATGTAAATAACGAGAAATCGAATTTGCCGGAAATGTAAAGGACAGTAAATCAAAGGTGCAATAGATGACTGGAAATCGAAATTGCATTAATGTAAAATGACTAGGGAATTTAAATACGGAAACTTAACTTGCATTGAATCGAAATGACCAAGAATCGAAAATACATAAACATAAAATTGTTGAATATAAATTGCATCAAAATAAATTACCAAGGAAAATAAATAAAGCGATAAAGGTACTCCGTGAGCATAGAAATCCAGATTGCCAGAAGCTTCATGGTGTTCGTCGTTTCTCCGGTAGACTTTTTCACTACTAATCCTGTTCTCTGCCAATTTTCGCCCCCCCTTATTCCTTCTTCCTCTGCTCTATTTATAGGGCATCATTCAAGCCTTCTAGGAGCAGTTAACAAAACTGCTACCACGTTCTTCGTGCGCGTTGCAGTTTCTTCTTCTGTGGTGTCAAAACTGCACCCACGTTCCCATGATCTTCAACCTCTGCCACGATTTAGAAATTGTTTCCTATGTGCGTGTTTAACTCCTTCTCTTTATGATCTGGCCACGATTTTGATATTTATGCGGGTTAACCTTTCTTTCGATTTAGACTTCAATTTTATCGAGAACTTTGGATTACTTTTGATTCCTTTTAACCTTAGCATCATATACTTCTAATTTCTTGGTTTGTTCCACAATAAACTTTTGACTATTATTTCTCCGATTCCGACTCTAACTTTCGATTTTATGTGCCATGCCCTTCTAATTGGACATCGAA